GCGCTTGATGGGGATTATGGGTCCCGAACACATCGTTCTGCCCAGATCCGGTCAGATGGCACTTGAAATGGAAAAGAAGAAGGCAGCCAGCAGGGTGTGTTTTTTTGGGGGGGAGAGAGAAATGGTGTGGGTGGGGGGGAAGGCATCCACACACATACCCCCTGTGGGAATCTAGAAGGGCTCTGCAGAGCTGGGGCTGAAGTCTGGGGCAACCACAGTCCCCCTTCTGTTCTGGGTTAGGGGTGCGGAGGGGGGGAGCTTGAGAGAGTGCAGGAGAGGGGCTGCCTCCCAGAGAGGTGTCCGGCTTATGCGTTTGCACCTGGGGAGGGGGGACACGAGGTCGCGTCTCCGATAAGCTAAGCCTCCTTCTCTCAGTCAAGGGATGCTTGTCACGAGACCTTTGGGGTTGGGGCCTCTGTGGAGCATGGAACACGACAGCTCTCTCCTGACCCAGAGGGAGGTCTCCTCTGTGGGGTGGGGAGGGGGGAAAGGAAGGCTTTGAGGGACTGGAGGCATCGGGCGCCCCGTGAGAAAGAGGCCTGTGCTCCTTGGGCCTCTCCGCTGGGTGTCTGGCAGCCCCCCCCCGCCTGCCGTGAGGCTGCCAAGCACGGGCTGGGACCCCCTTGAAAGGAAGGCTTTGAGGGACTGGAGGCATCGGGCGCCCCGTGAGAAAGAGGCCTGTGCTCCTTGGGCCTCTCCGCTGGGTGTCTGGCAGCCCCCCCCGCCTGCCATGAGGCTGCCAAGCAGGGGCTGGGACCCCCTCGTTGGGTTGGCCAGTGCCCACCTGTACTGCCAAGCGTTGGCATTGTGGCGAAGCGGGGCTCCTCTTCTTAGGCCTCCGTCCAGCCCAAGGAAGACTGACCGAGCTGCTGTTTCCCTCTCTCTCCTTCTAGAAAAGAGACAGGACAATGGCCGGGTCTACTACGTGAACCACAACACCCGCACCACACAATGGGAGGATCCCCGCACGCAGGGGTAGGGAGGCCGGCCCTTGGGGACGACCGTGGCAAGTCACGTCGGGCGGCTGCGGAGCCGGCTAGAGGAGGAGGAGGAGGAGGAGATCCAGGCAGCCTTGCTAGAAAGGCCGTGGGGGATCCCTGCCCTCTAAGTCCTGGGAGGGAAGGGCCGGTTCGCCTAGCATGGGTGGGGTGGGCACTGGGAGACGAGGGGGGACCCTGGAAGGGCAAAAGAGGTGCATGGCGAGGCTGCTCCCACCTTGGATTCCTCCCCGCCATAGGGGCCGGTCGAGAGAGCCTTTTGCAAGCCGAGAGAGCTAGCTGAAACTACGGGGGGGGGGGCTTGGCTTTCCCTGTGGGGCGAGTTGGGATGCGCCGACTGATCTCCCACTCTTTCTCTCTTTCTCTTTGGCCAGGATGATCCAGGAGCCGGCCCTCCCCGCCGGCTGGGAGATGAAATACACCAACGAGCGGGTGCGCTATTTTGTGGACCACAACACCCGCACCACCACCTTCAAGGACCCCCGCCCTGGCTTTGAGTCCGGGTGAGTTCCCATCACCACCACCCCCGACACCCACATCTCTGGATGCATATTGTGTGTGTGCGTGCGTGCGTGTATGTCTTTTATAGGATCCTGGTGAGACCCATGAAGGGTCACCTCGATATAACTGATGTGAGGCTGAAAGCAGGCGCATGGCCCTTCCGCCTCTGATGCCGTGGAACTACGGCCTCCATCGTCCCCACCCCCCAGCGCACAGCCCTGTGGGCTCGCTGGGTGGGGATGACGGAGGCTGCAGTCCACGGTGCCGGGTTCGATTGGTAAAGAGAAGGAGCTTTTCTATGAGAGAAGGCGAAGGCGACCCCAATGCCTCCCCTGCTCAGATTATGGCCCTGTACGTGACGTTCCTCCAACCGTGAGCGGCTTGGGTGCCGTCATGTAAGGGGGGGGGGAGCCTGGGGCCAGCTAGGCCTTCCCCCTCGGCTCTCTGCAGGGCTTTTCGGCTGCTCCCTGGGGCGTCCCAAGTGGAGTGTGTGTTCCCCCCAGCCCGTTCGGTCAGCCCCCGCGCAGCCCACCAACCTAGGATATTCTCTGCCAAAGCCCCGGCCAGGCAATTCGTGCATGAGGGGCGTGGTGTCGTCCTGGGGGAGCGAGGAAGGGTCTGTCCTGTCTCCAGTGCCAGTGGCGCTCAGCCCAGCCTGCCGAAAGACTGGGTTTGTGTGTGTGTGTGCTGGGATGGAAGGGTTGTGATGGCGAGGAGAGCCCGTGGGGACAATCCCCATCCTTGCATGGCCCTTGCTGTGCCCACCCCACCCAGAGAGCTGTTTCTGGCTGGCCGGCCAAGGGCAGCTGGGACCAGGGGCCAGGCCTTGGATAAGAGGTGTCCTACCCTGCACGCCATCCTCACCCCCTCGAAATGCGATGCCTTCCCCCCCCCCAGCCCCAGCAACGGGCACTTTTCCCAGCAGTCCTCCATGCTGGGCAGAGCGGAGGGATGTCAGTGCAAAACGTCCTAATTCTTCACGTAAGGAAATGACAGGGGAGAGTCGTATGTTTGTGACCAAGAGTAGCAGGGCTTAAAGGGGGGGGAGCATGACCCTGGCTCGTCCCCACACGTCCACCCCCAGCCCCACCGCCTGCAAAGGGCCGCTCAACTTTGTTCCAGTCTGGGTCCAAGGGGCGCAGACCTGCGTTTCAGGACTACCACTCCCAGAACTCCCCGGGCGGCATGGGAGTTGTAGTCCAAGAGCACAAATCTGCGTCCGATTGACGGGAGCCTTGGCTTTTACAGAAACAAGCAAGGGGGCTCGCCGGGAGCCTACGACCGAAGCTTTCGCTGGAAGTTCCACCAGTTCCGTTTCCTCTGCCACGTGAGTGTTGAGCCGCCTCGCGAGCAGGAGAGGGTGAGAGGCGCCCTTGAATAGGGGCCCCCCCGGGGGGAGAGCAGGAACGGGGCCACATCAGCAGCGGGGGAGGGGGAAGAGGACGGGTGCGGTTGACTTGTGCCTGTTCAACTTGGGCCTCTTACTCTGACCCTCCCTCTTCCGCAGTCCAACGCCCTGCCCAGCCATGTCAAGATCAGTGTCTCACGGCAAACGCTTTTTGAAGATTCCTTCCAGCAGGTGAGTTTGAGGGGGGCCATGTGTGTGTGGTCTTTTGGGAGGTACAAAGAGAGCCGGGCCCAGCCCCGGTTTCCCCTTGCCCAGAAACGTTTCTCCCTTCCTAGTCCCTTGGGCCCTTTTCCCCACCTCCAGTTTTCTCTGTCCAGATCATGAACATGAAGCCCTATGACCTCCGTCGGCGGCTTTACATCATCATGCGCGGGGAAGAGGGCCTGGATTACGGAGGCATCGCCCGGTGAGTTGGTCGAGCTGATGGAGTGCTGGGGGGGGTGGACCCATGTGCCGATCACAGCCCCCCTCCCCCTGTGCCCACAACAGCCTGGTCCTCCCTGTGCCTTCAGACTCTGTCCCGTCCTGGGGGAAAGGTTGCCGAGGCAATGGGGGGGGGGGAAGAAAAATGCAGGGATCATGCCATGCCTTTCGCAGTTAGATGCTGACCAAGAGGGTAAAAGAGAGGGGGGGCCCTCTTTGCCTTGTGCTTTGGATTCAGATTTTGGGGTGGTGGTGGTGGTGTGGTTAGGTAGATGCAGAGGGGCTCTGTGTGAAGGGGCTCTGAGCCCTTGGCTGGCCCTCGGCAGCTGCCCCTTCCGCTCCAGACGGCGTCTCCTCCGGGTGTTGGTGGAGCTTCTGGCGCCTCTCTCTGTGTCCCGCCAGTGGTTTTACCCTATGGTAGGTTACGTCATGCTGTTCTACCACAGGGTAGAACCACGGACGGGATGCGGGGGCTCTCTGCGTCAAGGAAGGGCTGCGCCTGAGCGAGCGAGAGGAAGAGAGGGAGGACAGCGCACTGCCTGCAGGAGACACCCTCCCCCAACACACACACACACACACACACACACACACACACACACACGTACAAGTATACTCATGTAGTTGCTAGCTGTGCTTATTCAGAGGGGGCCTGGTGGGTCAGCCCCCCTGCTGGCCAGGTCTCACTGGTCCTCCCTCCTTCTCTCTCCCTCCTTCTCTCTCCCTCTTTCTCTCTCTCTCTCTCTCTCTCCAGCGAGTGGTTCTTCCTCCTGTCCCATGAGGTCCTCAACCCCATGTACTGCCTCTTCGAATATGCCGGCAAGAACAATTACTGCCTCCAGATCAACCCGGCCTCATCCATCAATCCGGACCACCTGTTCTACTTCCGCTTTATCGGGCGGTTCATTGCCATGGTGAGCTTGGGGAAAGGGGGGGGTTGTGTTGAGGGGGGGCGGGGTAAGGTGATTTCTTTTGGGTGTGCCTCCTCTTTGTTTCTCAGAAGGTCTGCTCTCGAGTGGGGGCTGCCCATGAGAGGTAGCTGCGATCTTTTCCAGAGAAAGACCACAGTGTGCGCTGGGTTGTGTATCGTGGCCACTGGTTGCCCTGAGTCGCATGCTTTCCACACCTGCTCTCTTGTCCTTCTTGGCTGGTCTGATCCAGCCTGGTACTGGCTCCCTGGGGTTTCAGAATTTATTTCTTTACTCCTGTCGATGCCAGAGGTCTTGAGAAAGTCCGCTTTGCACAGCTACTCTGGCCCATAGCTTCACAGAGCATCGTTTGGCGATGGAAATTCCTTTTAACTTCCCTGACTCTGGGATTTTGGGGAACTGTCCCTTCCCCTCTTCCCCAAACCCCGCAGCCCTTTATCCTGCCCTGGTCTCAAGACATTCGTTCTTGAAGTGACACCAAGCCCCACTGCTCTTTCTGCTGTCGTGGCCTCTCCAGAGGCAGAGGAGGTAGAGAGCCGGTCTTTGGCTGCTGCACCCATGGGTGGGAGGCAGTGGTGGGTGGCCATTGACATCTCAAAGACCCTCTTGGGGTCATGGGAAGATGGAAGCAACTTAACGGCACAGAATATTAACAGGGCCACCTGTCAGCCACAGCCCTGTTGGGCAGGAGTTACCTCTGTTCTCCGTGGGATATAGCCATCAGGGCTAGACTGCTACAATGGGCTTTCTAGGGGCTCCCCCTTGATGATGTTTTGGAAGCTTCAAACATCTACAGAATGCAACCAGTCTCTCTCTCTCTCTCTGACCCCAGTTGGAGTTTGCTTCCAGGTCCAGTGGAAAGTGCTCTTTTTAAAACATTAATATCTTAAAATAGTTTGAGATTGAGGCCCTTTAAGGGGACGCGTTTGCTCCTGTCAAACTGGCCGGACAAGAGTGGCCACCATAGAAGCTTCTCTCACGTGCCCGCCAGGGAGAAGAGGGAGATCTGGACCAGACCTTCAGCTACAGGAATGCTTTGCTTTGGAGGCAGTGGTAGCATGCGTGCTTGCACACCAGCACCCACACACACACACACACACAAACACACACACAGAGGCACAAACGCACATGGAGCAAGACAGAGAATTGGGATTTGTAACAGATTTCCAGCCTTTTTGAAAGCAAAGGAAAGACCCATCTGTTGGATTTCCCCGCACACACACGCACACACGTTAGGAGAGAAAAACATGTTTGATGGGTTGGAGAAGGAAACGTGATATTCGTTTTCTACCCCCTTAATTGATCGCCCAGCCAGCCCAAGGGACGTTTGGTCTCCTCTGGGTTTAGAAAAGCCAGGATGTCAAGCAGTGTCGCAGCCTGATTTGGTCCTGCCCAAGAGGAAAGGGGTTGATCCGCCTTTTGGGGCATTTCTCCAGAATCCTGGAGGGTGGAAGGAGGACGGGGAGAAGCTAGGTAGCGAATCCCCCTCCTAAGAGCGGTCTTCCTAGCAAAGCCGGAGGCTGGGCGCGAGGGACTTTGGCCTGACTTGACCCGACTGGGCTCCAGGAGCAAATCATGGCGGCCTCTGCTCCCTGCCCTTGACTGCCTCTTCCCAAAAGATGCTGCCTTTGCTGAGGGAGTCTTTTTCCACTTTGGATGTTCAACAGACCTGTGTTTTGTCCTGTTCTGGCCCTTTTTTGGGTGCGGGGGGAGGGGGGAAGTATCTTTCTTCCAAACTCTTTCCCTCCCCTCCAGACCTCCCCCCCCCTCCCCAGTCTATGACTCACCACCCGGCTGCCTTCCTCCAGACACGCAGAAGCGTCTGCGTTATTCTTGGCTCTGGGAAGACAGGCCTGTGGCCACACAGCTCCGGTTAAACAAAGCTCTCTCTGGAGTCGTTTCGGGGAGCAGCCTTGGTTCTTGGAGGGTGGGGTCCTCAGGGGCCCCAAGGCTTTGACCTTTGGAAAGTGTTTCATGATCAGGGGCCCAAGCTGCCGAAGCACCCTGCTACTTTTAATACCCCCCCCTCCCCGGTCTTAATCTGGTTTTGGAGGCATCAGGCCCTGGTTAGTATCTGGATACAAAAGGCCACTAGGAAATAACAGGTCTGGCTAGGAAACATTCCCACGTCACTGGAGCATGGGAGCCGTCAGGCAGAATTGGCCGCCTTGAGTCAGAATCACAGGGTCCTCAGGTGGACCGAGGGTCCAGAGCCATAGAAGTTACCTTGCCAGGTAGCTTCTACGTCCCCTGGCGTTCCTCCGTTTGGATCAGCAGTCAAGCAAATGGCAGGAAAGCAATACAGCCCATCCATCGGTGGGATTCGGTCCTGTTCCAGAACAGCTTGCCAGGCGCCCGTTTCAAAAATCAAGACCATTTTATTTTCTTGGGCGTTTTAAAAAGTGAGGTTGCCAACACTGGAAATGAAGTTTTTCCCCCCATTCTCCTGTTTTCTCCAAATGGTTTCCATGTATCACCTGAGCGGCTTCTGTCTTCCTGCCAGACTTGTAACTGTGGTAGGTTTTGGGACATGGGCTCGATGTGTAGGAAGGGTGGTGTTGAAACATCTGGTGTAAAAATAAGAACCCGCCGGCTGCCCCCGTTGGTAGAAGGAGAGGGTTAGGCTGGATGGGTTCTGTGCTTGACCGCCGAGGGGTCTTCAGCCTTCTTTCCTGACTTCTCTCTTCTTCTTAGACCTTCTCTCTCTCTCTCTGGACCTTTGCTTCTGCTAGGCAGGGACATGAGACTGATGCCCTTTTTTGGTTGGGGTATATCCCCTTTCCTTACAGGCCTTATACCATGGGAAGTTCATTGACACCGGCTTTACGCTGCCCTTCTACAAGCGCATGCTGAACAAGCGTCCGACCCTCAAGGATCTGGAATCCATTGACCCCGAGTTCTACAACTCCATCGTCTGGATCAAGTCAGTCTCTTCCTTCCTTCCTTCCTTCCCCCCTCCCCCCTTGCTCTCCCCATCCTGCAAGCCTTCTCCTCCCACCTCCCTTACGCCCCCCCCTTTAAACTGCTGGAGCAGAGCCAGGACAGACCTGGGCAGTCATGCTTTCAGTTGACCTTGCAGACCAGCCATGCTGCCACCACTCTTCTGAATTTCAGGAAGTCAGCTTTTTTTTGGGGGGGGGGGTTGTTACAGCTCGCAGCTGGCCATGCAGGCTGGCGGATTCTAGGGACCTTTGCTGTTTTTGACCCCACGTGTCCTGGGTGGAGACTGTGCTTTTCCTTTGAACACCCCATTGAAGCCTGAATCGTGCTGCTGTTTGAATCTGTCCTTATGTTGATCATATCTTGGACCTTAAAAGACTCTGGACGGGGGTTGTCCTGATGACCTATGGGTTGAAGGACTGATAAAATAGGCCAGCTTTTCTTCCCGGGAGAGGAAAGCGGAGAACCTCAGCTGCCTCTGAGGACCGTCCCAGAGTGGTTCCCAGAGTGTGAGGGTTGGGGAAGTGCTCGGATTTTTGGTCCCCTGCTCTGCTCTGCTCTGCTCTGCCCCGCCTGCCCTCCCTTCCCGAATGAGTCCCTGGCCTTTCTTCCCTCTCCTCCTGCTCGCCTTTGCCCTGCCCTTGACTCCCTCCTGGATCTTTGGCAGGGAGAACAACCTGGAGGAATGCGGGCTGGAGCTCTACTTCATCCAGGACATGGAGATCTTGGGCAAGGTGACCACCCATGAGCTAAAGGAAGGTGGGGAGAGCATCCGGGTCACCGAGGAGAACAAGGAGGAGTACATCATGTGAGTGCTGTCCTGGGGACACACGGGTTGGAGGTGGTTTGAAGCGTCACCTCTGTGTGTGTGCGTGTGTGTGTATCGGAGGAGGGTGGGGAGGAGGGTTTCACCCGAAGTGCCTCTTTGGTCTCCACCGGAGGCGGGCATTTTGGAATGGATTCTGGGGCTGCCTCTTGGAAGCCAGCTTCCTGTCTGCCAAATGGGGTGGTCCTGAGGCTCCAGGGGCATGACTGGATGGTGGAGCATCCTAGGACGGCTCCGTTTGTGATTAAAATACCTGGCATTTGGGTGGCACAAAGCCCCCCCCCCTTGTGATGCCTGGCTGTACCCCAGGAAATTGCCAGGCCAGGGGCTGGCTGCACCACACCCAGGCCGCCCTGAACGGTCTCTCTCTCCTTGCAGGCTGCTGACAGACTGGCGCTTCACCCGGGGGGTGGAGGAACAGACCAAAGTCTTCCTGGATGGCTTCAACGAGGTGGCGCCGCTGGAGTGGCTGCGATACTTTGATGAGAAGGAGCTAGAGGTGAGCTGGGGCACCAGAGAGCCTGGCACCACCGGTCTGCCTGTCATGGGGAGGGGGCATCCCTGGCTGGGCTGTGGTCCCTACCCAGAACAAAATCCTGCCCCCCCCCCCGGTGGGGCTCCCGAGCCACGGACTGCCTGGCTTCTGTTCGTTCTGTCGGGTGCCGAGCCCGTTCCCTCCGGCGGCTTCCTCGGCGAGGGCAGTGCTGCCTCGCCCTGCCCTCTGACTCTTCCAGGTGATTCAAGCAGTATCTTCTGTCTCTCCCCCCCGCCCCTTCCACCCCTGTCTTTTTTTTTTACCTCTTCAGCTGATGCTGTGTGGCATGCAGGAGATTGACATAAACGACTGGCAGAAGAACACCATTTACCGGCACTACACCAAAACCAGCAAGCAGATCCAGTGGTTCTGGCAGGTGAGCTGGGAAACAGGGAAAGCTGGATTGCTTTGAACCCGCGGTGAAAAGGCAGCACTTGCTCTTGAATGGAGTGGAGCAATGGCAGGGGAAGTGCTTCTGAGCATACGCAGAAAGCCTTTGTCTTATCTCCCAATAACCGTGGTCCGTGTCCTACGCCTGAAGTTAGTGAGCCGGGTTTCTGATTGAGAGGCGCAAGCCGGTGGCGACCTGAGTGCTGGCTGTCAAGCTCCTCCTCGCTGAGCCCTTGGGGAGGGGGTCGCCCTGTCCCTGAGCCGCTGAGCGTGGGCCTTCTTCCTTCGGAGGGTTGGGGAGGCTGCCCCTGACCCTTCCCGACCATGTGGGTTGCAGGTTGTCAAGGAAATGGACAACGAGAAGAGGATCCGCCTTCTGCAGTTCGTCACTGGGACCTGCCGTCTGCCGGTCGGAGGGTTTGCTGAGCTGATTGGTAATTCTTTGCCCGGCGGCCTGTGGAAGGGTTTGGAGGGAGGCGGCGTGGGGGGGGGGCAAGAGCTGGTGGGGCGAGGGA